AAACATAAAAAGCTGGCTTCTGCGTTTGCTAGGGTGAAAGGTCCACGCGCAAAAGACTCTTTTGGGGAGATAAGAGTAGTGGTGGTAGAGTGGGAGGAAGAATATTTGCAAGTCCAACTGCTTCCACCGCAAAAGATATTACTATTTTTCTTCCATAAGTTGGAAATTTTTGGTCACTTTGGATCACTACATCTTAACTAATTCTAAATTAATCAATGAATAAGCTTTTCAAAAAGAGGAAACTAATGCTTATGTAATATCATTTGGTATTTGATAGTTCTTATATATATATTATCATAAGTAAAATTATCTCTTATGAATGTTAGTGTAAGTTTGGTTTCCTATTTTTATGTATATAAGTCTCGATTTATTAAATTTTTTGTGTAATTTTTTTTGATTATTAGTAAAAGTATTGAATTTTATAAAAAAAAGGGTAAGAAATTGCATTACTCAAATTATTTTAGTTGCAATCATTAATACAAGAGACATGTCACAATCGTTAATGGCAGCTTAAGACTGTTTTTTCCGATTTAGTGTGCATAGTGAGAACCGACCGGTCCCCCACCAACCTTGACCGGCCTGTCTGTTTTACGAACACGTCATCTAGAATTATTGACAAACGTGCATTAAAAATTAAATATACTTATTAACATGTAAAAATAGAAGGATAAACTCTTTTATTTTATCTAGTATATTATTGTTTTTTATAATTAATATTTTTTAAAATTTTTATTTTTTAGTAAATATCTTTCAAAAATTAAAATTTATAAAAAAATTTAAAAAGTAATGGTCAAATTTTTTATGTGTACCCTTACTTATATGTAAATTTTTTTTATATATTGGTTGCATAATAAAAGGTAATATTTTTTCGTCTTTTATCTCATTTCACCTGCATGTTATATTATTCGAAATCAGAATCTCTTATTTTTTTAAAAAAATTATTACTAAATTACTTAAGTTGTTAGCTTTACTTATATGTAAATTGATTGTTAATTTTAAATTTTTTATAAATTTCAAATTACAAAAAATATTTATCATAAATAAAAATTTTAAAGGATTTGATTATAAAAAATAATAATATTTAAGATACAAATATATTATTATACAAATAAAAAATTTGACAAATGTATAGCGTTTAAATTGGACTAAGAAGCTATCATGTGTTTTGAGCAATATTTCAAATGTTTTGTACTTTGTCTACGTTACTTGCTGTCGATTTAAGATTTTTTTTTGGGAGGGGGGGAGGGGTTGGGGGCTTAAAACCTTTCACACTAGATTACTACAAAATTCTTTTATTATTATTATTTTAAATTACATAATAATTCTTTTTGCGTCTTTTTACCTTCTTAATGCACTTATTATTTAAATTTAAGAATTTTTGTTCCATTTAGAAAAGAAATTACTACATTTTATGTTTTTTTTTTTTGGGTATAAGAGACTTGTAAATCATATGATTACGTATAAATTCGTTTTTATTGTGAATCATACTATAATCTCTCCCATCCTTCTAATTTTCAAATGATTATGATGTTTTTGAGTTATTTGTGTGTATTTTAAAACTAATACTTTGTATAATATTCTCAAAGATTTAAAGATTATACAACCAATCCACGTAGGATTAAAAAATTTTTAAAAATTAATTTTTATTAATTCTCTAAAAATTAAAATCTTAATTATTATAGTCTCGTACTTGGTGGCTTATTGGCCACTCCCTTATAGAACGTGTTAGGACTAATAAACTTGGGATCAAATTCCAAGTTCCCTTTCTTCTTTTCTCAGAAAAGTCCCCTTGCAGAACGTGCTAGGACTAGTAAACTTGAGATCAAATTCCAAGTTCCCTTTCTTCTTTTCTCAAGAAAGTTTCACACTGTTCAGAAAAAAAATCTTAATTAATATTGTGGGTATCTAACTCCTTTACCAACAACAAAACTACCACTCCTAACTACCCTTAAAAGACTAACACTATTAAGTACGTTGCCCTTGTGCAAGTAAGGTAGTCCTTGTCAGATAGATAAAAATGAAATTATTTCAATTATCAAATTTTAAATGAACTTTTATATAAATTATCCCATAAAAATAATATGATAAATGCACTTATCCTTCAAGTCAACTGATACTCTATTAACTTGAGGTGTATTCTCTTTTTCCATAAATGAATTTTGAGTCCGTTTTTTGACAAGTTGTCCAAAAAAAATAATACGATGAACGTGTGACAAATGTGTGCAATTGGTTCTGACAACAAAAAAAAAAAAAGAACTCATCTTTTTATTAATGATTATAACAAAGTACGGTATGTGCAGAACAGTATTTCCCATTCACACGTACGAGTAGAATTGGGAAGCTTACTTACGGCATGTGCGTTTTGGCTTTGAAAAGTAATGTCGTTTTCAAGAACAATGAGGCGCGCGCGGGGTGGTTAAAAGGGTAGAAAGATAGCACTGTCTCTGTGGTGGTGGCAGCAGCAGCGGCAAGCAATTAAGTCCAATAACACTGCCAAAGGGAAACCGTTCTAAACTGATTTGTCTAAATAGTCAGCCATGTGTCATCCTATCTAAGGCTGGCACAATAAAGGTTGTTAAAGTGTGGATCATCTCAACTTGAACCTTTTCAATTAAGCCAAAATTTTTTTTATTTAAAAAAATAAAAAAATAAAAATCAAGGTGTTACAAGATTCCGAATGTGCATCATAGTCATCAATCAAGTGAGTTTTTATTTTAATTTTTCGGACTCTCTTAAAATAAAAGCTTAAAAATTCTTAAAGGAAATAATTCTTTTATTAAAAAATATTTTATGTCGTGTTTTGATTTTTTATAATAAAATTAATCAAGGCTTTATTTAATAATGTTGAATTGTAATAGTAAGTTAATATATTTAATATTTATTTTAGAAAAATAAAAATTAAAACATCTTAATACTTTAAATGTTAAGGTTTTTTTTATTAAAACTTTTAAATATTTTTAATAAATATTTTTTTTTGTGTGTTGATTTATTGAAAACATTTTAGTTTTTTATTATCATTCTTAATGTTTTATTTTTGACATGACTTTTCTCATTCTCTTATTTTAATTAATATTATATATTTAAAAACAAAACAAAAACCCAAAACTAAAGTGTTGAAAAGCATTTCCAAAGAAAGTTCCAGCTTGTGCTCCGAAATCATCTCACCCACAATTTCTAAGTAAATCTCCACGCAATGGTAGTTAACAAAGCATTATTAGTAACAAGACATTAAAATATTAATAGTATGATTGACTATTACATATGCTTGGATGCATAATCTTGACTTTAAAATAAACCAAGCTACTAAGTGCTGGTAATGTTAACTGGACATACACGTTTTAAAGAATTTTCTTAGGCTAAGTAATGTAAGCCTAGATTTCATACTAAATCCAACATTATGATTATTACAGCATATGACTTTTCTATCAAGATCATGGAAATTATAGGATAAATTAACTTCGAGTCCAAGAAGGTCGGAGAAGAGGAAGAACTTAATATCTTCTTAGAAGAACGCTACCCTACAATGGAAAGTTAGGCAATTAGTGAAGAATTTTGCAGAGAGAAACAAAATTTCATTTCGAGAATGATTATGTTTAGGGAGACGCAAAATAGAAGAAAGGACTTTAAGAAAGTTTCTTTTTTATATATATAGAATACAAAATAAATATGATAAAAAGAAAATATTGTGGACTTCTACAGGTTTATTATGAACTCGTTTTTATTTATTCCTTAATTAAAGTAATGCTCCTATTTCCAAATATGTTTACTTCTTTAATTTCCCTTTTTCAAAAATAAAATTCTCCATCCATTGACCGGAAGCATATACAATATTATCACATTTTAATTTCATTTTCATTTCAAAAGAAAAAAGAGTAAAAAAATGTGGGTTTTATTTTTTATGTTCTAAAAGAATGGGAGTAGATTTGTCAAACTTGAAGATGTTTGATCAAATAATACAGCCAAAGTAAGTGTAAAATCATACACCTAACGAATATTTTTTTCAAAAAAAAAAAAATCATAAACGTAACGGAACGGAACGGAACGGAACGGAAGAAAATGGTGAGAACACCGCAGCCATGATGAGGCAACGCAAGATTTTCACCTAACGACGTCATCTTGACGCACCTTCTGCCCTTCCTTTCTCTATTTATACTCTCATTTTATGCTTCAAAACCAACCCCACCACAGGCCTCCTAATCCCCCTGCTTCTCTCTCTGTTCCTCAATACTTAAGCATTCCATGTTTAAGATGGAGTACAGTGACACATCTGCAGCTTCTCCTCAACCTCCCTCTCCTTCTTCATCTTCTTCTCCTTCTCCTCCTAGTCCTCACCCTCCTCCGCCGACTTCCACCACTCCACCGGTGGTCATCAGCCCTTGTGCGGCTTGCAAGATTTTGAGGCGTAGGTGCGCCAACAAATGCGTCTTGGCACCTTATTTTCCTCCCACTGAGCCTGCCAATTAGTTCACCATTGCTCACCGCGTGTTCGGCGCTAGCAATATTATCAAGTTCTTGCAGGTACCAGTTAATAAGAGTTACTCTGTTCTTGAAATTTTCAATTGATTTTAGTCTTCAAGACTAACTTACAATTCACACCGTAACTAGAAAATTTATACTAAATTATTTTTTTTATTAATATTTTCAAAAATATAAGCTTTAATAAAAAAAAAATTTAACACTTCTTGTATTATGTTATGAATTTTTAATGTTTTACCGTTTACGTATTTTAGATTTACATAAATTAGGACTTAAAAAGGCACACCTACGGACAGGGGACAAATGTGCTATACATGACCCTACCCTGTTTTGAAAATTTCCACAACAGCCCGCACTGACCTTGTCAAATCTCAACTTCTCCAACCAAGACATCGCATTTTCTATGTAGAATAGGGAAGGAGACTGCGTGGACAATTGGCTAAATCTTAGCTTAAAAATTTGCATTGACTTTTCAATTCCATTAGTTATAGACACCTAATTTTGTTTTCCATTACTTTCAGGAACTTCCAGAGTCTCAAAGGGCTGATGCAGTGAGCAGCATGGTTTATGAGGCAAGTGCCAGAATCCGAGACCCTGTATACGGCTGTGCAGGAGCAATTTGCCACCTGCAGAAGCAAGTGAATGAACTTCAAGCACAATTGGCAAAGGCTCAAGCTGAGCTCGTGAATATGCAACTTCAACAGGCAAACCTTGTGGCCTTACTGTGCGTGGAAATGAGACAATCCGAACCAAATTTGCAACAATCTGTTGACACCTTCCTCAGTAGCCCACAGAACTACGAGGGCAACCTGGGATTTCTCGATGATAACAACAACAACAACCTAGCATCATTGTGGGAGCAGCAGCCTCTTTGGACATGATTGGATTAATTAATTTGTAATCTCAAGACTATCAGTCAAGAACTTCCTCGTTCCAATGAAATTCTCCTAACTCTATTAGCTTAAAGCAAGCATGAGAAGGAGAAGATGAGGGAACATTATATTAATAAAATCAACTCAATTGGGGCGTAATTAGGTATAGATAGGGTGAGTGTAAATCTAATCTCTTTGTTAAACGCTATACAAAGCAGATTAGTACTCTTTTCTCCTCTAATTTTCCAAGGTAATTTGGGGGAGGAAGTGGTGGTGTATTTTTTTCCTTTTTGTATATTAGTTAGCTGGTATTATATATGGGTCATGTTGCGAATTAAAAAATTTATAAAAGTTTATATCTCCATTATCTTCTTAAAAAAACATTCAAATTATGATTAATAAAAAGTAGTAATTTCTTGCCTAGCTATCATACTGCCACCCTTACAGATTAGGTATCTTCTTCTATCTATACAAGTCAATTGATCATTAACTAGTTGATTATTGAATTAAATTGTAACGACTTTTGGTCACCTAAAATCCTACTAAGAAATTGATGGCACATCCACCCCTTATCAAGTTATTTTGACCATCTCTTTCGTAGCTGGGATTATGGTCACATACAATAATATTAAAAATTTCAATAGAGTAACATAACAATTAAGAAAATTAAAATTTTAAATTCGAGATTTTAAATTTGAGTTTTGAATCGAGTAGGTAAATATTTTAAAATAAGAGAGGATTATCGCTCTTGTATAATTTGCAATCATATGTTCAAAAAAAAATAATATTAAAGTCACATAATATTAATTTTAAAAATAATAAATAATTTACATAATAATTGTTATTTATTATTTAATTAATTAAAATTAACTTATAAATTGATATTTTTAAATATAATGATTAATTATTTAAAAAATTATAAATTAATAAAATATTAATCAACTAAATAAAATCGTACATAATTACACCCATCACTTACACTTGATTTTCTCACTAAACGACATTATTGTTATACCAATAATTAAGCAACTTTTTCCAACTTTTAATTTAACGTTTTCTATCTTAGTTCTAATCTTGACCCCTTCCTCCCCAACGAAATCATTAGATTACAATTCTTAAACCTTGAATTCAGGATTATAATAAGTCCCTTAATTAAATGCAGGATTTAAATATAAATACGTATTTAACATGTCATTTTAATTAAGAGAGTAAGTGGTATGGTTGATTAAGAACAACAGTCTCTTTCTCTTTCATATATATGTTTGACCACAACGCCCTTCTCACTGTTGTAGCCTGCCAATGACGGGTCTAATTTTTTTCTCTACAGAAGTACAGATTAGAATGACATTTAATGACATATTATCATAATAAAAGATGCCCTAATGATGCTATTATATGGATATTTTTTTTTAATCAGTAAAGTTGCTTTTTACTTGCTTTAACACGCGTAAGCAATATGAGATCAAATCATGACACCTCGAGAGTATATATAGTTGATCTTTATTTTATTTTATTTTTTTATAATAAAAATTTAGTGAAATTAATACTTAAAATTATAAAAATTTTAATTTGAGATTAGAGTAAAAGACACTTCAAACCACAACAATTGTTTTTATCTTTATTTTTGGTGAGGATCACATTGTGGTGGTGGTGGTAAATGATCACAATCATTGTTGGAACTAATTAATTAACCGCAGCACACGTTGCGGTATTGATTGTCCTTCATTCTAAAATACAGCAACCTTTTTTTAAATTAAGAATTTAAATACAATTTATGTGTTTATTTATAATATTTTTAAAAAAATAAAGAATTTTTTTATGATATGATGATTAATTAAAGAAAATAATTAATGATAAGGGTAAAATATAAAAAAAATGTCTTTCTAAAAGAATACAAAAAATAATTAATTTGAAACAAATTTAAAATTAAAAAAAGTTAGTTTTTGGTCAATGATACATTTAACACATATTTTTATTATTAATTTCTATAAAAATTATAAAAATTTATTTTTAATATCAATATTATGTAAAATTATTTAATTAAATAATTATCAAAATTAAAATTAATTTTTATTTTTTAAAATATAATTAATAATAAAAAAATATAATAAATATATTTTTAACAAAAACCCTTATAACACACATTAGAAAACCCAATAAAAAGAACAGTCTTTACGAGACAAAAAATAGGAGTAATTATTAAGCTACTACAAAATTAATGATGGGTGTTAATTTGTCTCCCCTTAAACGCGTTATTTGGGTTAAGTTTCCAAAATTCCAGTCATGTGCACCCCTCGTGTAGCACCTGGACTTAAAAACAACACAGTTAACAGCTTTATGGTCATGGGTCATGGTGCTGTTTTTTCACTTGTCGGTAACCGTTTGATGTTTCCTTTCCCATTAATTGTCTCCCATGCCATGATTTTTCCACGCTTCAAAATTCCTTGCTTTTGACTCCAAAGTTCTGCTAGCTATATTTATATAGGGAAATAATATTTTTATAAATTTTTTTAATTTAATGTATCATTAAAATAATTAATTTTTTTAATTTATTTAAAATTCATGATATTAAATACATATATTCACTTAATAATATGTAAAAATTATATTAAAAATGATATAAGAAAATTATCTCAATAGCACCACTCATATTTATATATCAATCATATTCTAGATATCTATTGCAAATATTGGCAATTTCCATTAGCCCCCTTTTTTTCTAAAGAAAAAAAAATAATGGCGGTGACTATTATGCTTTATATCTATTTTTTTAATTAATGTGATATTCATGATATTAAATATATTTATTTATTTAATGATATATAAAATTTGTATAATAAAAAAAAATTATGTTAATAGCACCACCCATATTTATATATTGATCATATTCTAGATGTTTACCGTAACATTGGTAATTTCCATTTCCCCCCCTCCCCCCTTTTTTTTTAAAGAAAAAAAAAATAATGGCGGTGACCACTATGCTTTATATGTAGTACTGAAAATGAGTTTCCAACGTCAACGCTCTGCCAATTAAAATTAAAATAATTAATTGAAAATATTAATTCCCATATATATATAGCTGGAAAATAGGGTCAATAAAATCTTAATTTGGCCCAATGACAAAATACTGAAGCGTATTGACTTGAGATTGTTGGTTTTGGACTTTTTATAATACGTTTGAGTTTATAGGAAAGGGATATACTTTTCAATTAATTAAATTATAAGATTTTTTAATATTATAATTTGATTGATAAAAAAAATTTATTTCTCATTTTCATTTTTTTCAAACCAAATATACTATTAGTTGGATCTCACAAATTTGTTTGTATAATAATATATGAACTAGATGTAATTTATAGAGTAGTAATATACTTACAAATAAATCTCATACACTGCACTTATATAAAATCATAAATAGTTATATTTTTATTTTTAATAATTAAAATTTATTCATATTTATTAAATATAATTATTATTTTTATCTAAAAAATCATGATGAATATCAATTATTGAAAGTA